AAAGAAAATTTTTGAATTTCACTTTAGGTGAAAATTCATGCCAAGTTAATACTATACCTCTGGCACTTCCAACTTTCTTTCGGTGTTTCAAGCCACACAGGAAGAAACGACACCAAAATCCATACCTTTCACGTATGGGGGACTTTATCTCGATCCCTAATTAGAGATAAGTCTGCATCTAACACATGTTGCCGGGTAGCCTATTCCCGCAATAATAGCAAAGCCTACGTATTCAACATCGTAGCACCAAAATCCATGCCTTACACGTATAGGGAATTTTATCCCGAATCCTAAGTAGGGATAAGTCAATGCCTAACACGCGTTGCCGGTTAGTCTTTCACCGAATCCTAAGTAGGGATAAGTCAATGCCTAACACGCGTTGCCGGTTAGTCTTTCACCGTAAAAAAGGACAAAAGTCTACGTATTCAACATCGTAGCAGGTTGTTATTAATAACGCCGAAATTCATGCCTTACACGCATGAGGGACGTTATCTCGATCTCTAATTAGAGATAAGTCTACGCCTAACATGCGTTGCCGGTTAGTCTTTTTCCATAAAAAAATGACAAAGTCTATGTATTCAAAATCATAGCATCGAGTCTAAGAGAGTTCATTCTTTTAGCACAACATTACATGTGGAACGGATTCAAATAATTCACATGCTAGCCCGACTAAAACGGTAGTCGGTAAAGGCTTATCAAATCCGTTGATGGCTGAAAATAATTCACATGCTAGCCCGACTAAAACGGTAGTCGGTAAAGGCTTATCAAATCCGTTGATGGCTGATGGTTTGCCAAAAATCCTAAGCATGTTCGTAGGTCCATTAGCTTGATGGATGTGAGCCGAGACTTGAAACAGATGAGCTAAAGACAAGTTTCAAAGACTTAGTCAAAAATGCACGGAAGCCACTTCCATGTCTCAAGTCAAAACGCCAAGGTCAGACCCGCGTTACAAAAATTATGACGCCGAGGTCACACCCGGGTTTCAAATTCAAAACGCCGAAGTCAGCCCCGCGTCTCAAATTCAAACACCCGGGTTTCAAATTCAAAACGCCGAAGTCAGCCCCGCGTCTCAAATTCAAAACGTAGGGGTCCACCCCCGCATTCCAGAAGCAGGATTATGACGCATACCTTCACAAAGGTCCTACGTGGCAAATCCCTTCAACCAAGATGCATTCAAAGCGAGTGCAGAGAATAACTCCTTTACGACAAGGAATCAACAGCTCCAGGATCAGAGTTGAGATCCAAAGTATTCCGAAAATTCATCCCAGTCAACCGTGAACTTTCGAAAACTTTGGAGGGGGTTCTGTAGGCTGTCTAAAAATCACAATAGATAGCTTATCCCCCACCAAACACCGATGATGGAAGTTACAATCTGACGACTCTCATATTCTCAAGGAGCTAAGACGAAGATTACAAGACAATGATCTTTGCAACGCTATGACAAAAGAGATTACTTGTTGATAATCTCTCCAAAGCAAGACGCGGAACTCATCACCGCACTCTAAGACCAAAACGCGGAGGTCCTCCCCGTGTGTCAACAGTAAAACGTGAGGGTCGAACCCGCGTTACAACATTAAAACGCTGGAGTCGGACCCGCGTTACAACACCAAAACGCGGAGGTCCTCCCCGTGTGTCAACAGTAAAACACGAGGGTCGAACCCGCGTTACAATATTAAAACGCTGGAGTCGGACCCGCGTTACAACACCAAAACGCTGGAGTCGGACCCGCGTTACAACATTAAAACGCTGGGGTCGGACCCGCGTTTTTCAACACCTAGCGAGTACCCAACTCTGCGTCTCAATTCTAAAATGCGGAGTTAGGGTCTCGAACGCCGACGTGGGCGTTTGACTCGTTCAAACACGAGCTGAACGGTTGCAGGAACCGTTTTCCCTCCACGATTTGAGGGATTTCCGCCCCACTATGGAGAGAATTAAGGGGGCGGTTACACCCCTTAATCCCCTATAAAAGCGAGTAAACTCAACTAAGTTCGAGGGCTGGCATTTTCGGATCTGAGACTGGGCAGCGAGGAGGGAATTTCTTGGCAGCAGGAAGAGGAGATCTTTTGGCTTGGCAACAAGGGGGAGATCGATGTTCATCCTCAGCAACGATCGACCACCGAAGCTTTCTTCTAGCCTTGGCTTATTAACCGATCTTCGGTTCAAATCAACTCTTTCACAGAGTTATCAACTCATCAAGAGTTTCAAACTTGCCACGCAAGTTCTCCACAACGTCGAATCGTGAGGAGAAGACATCGTTCCAGTGAATCAAGACGTGCGGATCGTCAACGGAGAGCAAACTCGACGCGAGCATTCGAGGGAGGCACTCCATCGCCACCGAAAAGAACCCAGTTTTAAACAAAGGGAAGAACCAAATTTGTTCTCCTCTCTTTTGTAATCGAATTGTAACCGGAATCAAAGGAATACAAGTCAAATTTCTTTTGTTCTTTTCACTGCAATTTTTCCTACAAACAATGACTGACAAGAAAAGATCAATTTTATAAAATATAGTCTTTAAAATACAAGTGACTAACAACTCTGTATATTTAGAGATTGTTAATTAAAAATTTTGTTGATGCTCAATATCAAACAACCAAATTAATCCAGGAGAGGACGCTTGCGGGGTGATGAATGATGATGGAGGGCCCGCTCCCTTCTTCGATTTTATGCCTAGTTCTTGAACGATGGTTTGATGTCCACACTACAAAGACAAGAAGAACCCGTGAGAGGGCAGGGACCGGTTCCCTCGTGATTCCTCCGATAGTCAAGTTAGTTGATGAACTTAAGCTATAGCGGAGCTTAGAACTGTGTGTTCTTATGTTATGTGCATTGGAGATGATCATCTCTCAGGTTTAGGTCAGGAGGAAGATTTTAGATTGCTCCGAGAGTTTTCTTTTGCTTACCTCTTTCTGATGGTGAACAGCCTCCATATATAGAGTGGATGTCCATGGAAGATTGGTTATTTCGGCCATGCAGAATGGCGGTGATAAAGTATGAGCTGGAAAGTGAGTCGTCCCTCGCTTTACAGGTGTCGGCTGACGACTGGAGGGGAAGTTATTTCAGCATGGAAGATGATGTCTCCGCGATATCCGGGAAGTGACTTGTGAGTGTGGCAGAAGTCACGTGGGCATACTGAGTCATCTCTCTTTTTACAGATGTCGGCTGGCGACTGGAAGGGGAGTTACTTTATTATGAGAGAGAGTATCTCCGTATTTTTTGGGAAGTGATTGAATTGACAAGTCATTGAGATTTATTAGGCCAAAATCTGGATAAGGCTTGTTCAGAGTGGATTGGGATGTCAACATATGTTCTGGGGGAGAGACTTGAGGCCGGGGTCGAGTCTTCAATTTAGTCGACAGCAGTGAATGTCCCTTAAGTTATTTCTGAGAAATATTCAGTGATTGGTCGAGTGCCCTAAATAAGGTCGTCCTTGAAGATAGGGTCGACCGGTACCGCCTTTCGCTTTGACTTAGGAGTGTCGGTCTGTCCGACTGGTTAAAATATCGTCTCATCTCAGCTAATAACCATCTCTTGAGTTGATATGGAGATGTCGACTTGTCGAGAGATCAGGATCTCTCGTACCGGCTAGTATCGCCTCTTGTGTCGACACCATAGTGCCGACTTGATGAGTCGGTAGGGCCGAGACCTCTACAATTGTGCCTTGAGTTTATCCTTTGATAAAGGGCCAAGAGCTTGAAATTCGACTGAGGAGTCGTTGTGCCTTGGGTTTACCCTGAAGAGGTACCAGGAGCTTGAAATTTGACTGAGGAGTCGTTGGGAGTCGTTGTGCCTTGGGTTTACCCTAAAGAGGTACCAGAAGCTTAAAATTCGACTGAGGAGTCGTTGTGCCTTGGCTTTACCCTGAAGAGGTACCACGATCTTAAAATTCGACCGAGGAGTCGAATGCCTAGGACTCTTGAGAGTTGACTGGGGCTTTCCTTTCCCCATGGTCGAGAGAAGACTGTGGGAGTCGGCCAGATGGTTGAGGTTATTTTTCTAGGACTCTTATTGTATCATTTTGCAAATATCTGTATCTTGGGTGAGTGAACACCATAACAAATTTATTCTTATTCTTTTAATATAAATGGTACTATTAACCGGTGATTAGTGATAACTAAATAAACAAGACTCTAGTCTCGTGTATTTTAAAGATTATATTTTGTGAAATTGATATTTTTTAAGGAAACATGATGATATGATAAAAAAGATATTGATCTTGCTAACTAATTCACAAAAAATATTGATTTCGCTAATGATAATTTTTTTAAAAAAAGGTATTTTATTTATAAAGATTTTCCCAATTTCATTTTATACCAACGTTACAGATTCCAAAGCCTAGCGTTCATCGTGTAGCTAGAGACAAACAATTAGCCTAGGGTTAAGGTCACTACAAATTTATCAAAAACATTACGGGGGGGAAAGGTCAAAGCAACAAAAGGAAAATAAAACAAAAGAAAGCAGAGTACGGTATCAGAGAGGGCGTGAGTGAGTGATCGCTTTTGCTTTTTCCCCCTTTTCTTTTTTTGTCTTCATTTTAAATCCTCACTTTTAATCTCCATTTTTCCTCACTGCCTCCAAAGGCATCATGGACAAGTTATAATTACGGTAGCTGCCACTGGCATCCGCTGCCATGGCTACTCACCACCTCGCTCTCACGTGCAATAGCGGTTCCACGCCCTCCCCGAATCCTTCACCCGGCTCTGCCGCTTCCTGCTCCGCGATCGCCTCCGCAGCTTGGAATCGGCTCCCGCCACCTCCACACTCACTACGCAACTCCACATCCACCATCTCCTCCTCCATCAAATCCATCTTCTTCAGCAAGCAGCAAGCTTCCTCCTTTTCCTCTTCTTCGCTTCAGCCCGAGCTCCGCCGATGCAAGTCTTTCTCCGTTGGTGGCGGACCTCGAATCTCGACCTCGTTCGAGCCCCAGCGGAGGTCCTGCGACGCCCGCGGCCACAGCTCTCTCTGGTCCCTCTTCAACCGGGACGACAGCAGCACGGCCATAAGATTCGAGGCTGTCAGAGATGAGATCGCCGTCGTGGATGCCGGTCATTGGCAGAGAAATTTGACAATGTGGGGTTCTGAGTGCGGCGATGAAGGAGCACATAGATCTCGAATCTCAGCAAAGAAGCCAACTTTTTGGCTCGCTGCTTCCGTTCTTGAGCAAGAAGCTTCAGAAATGGCGGAGGAAGCAGAAGACGAAGAAGACGAAGAAGCAGGGGGAGGACAATGACAAGGCTAACCCTAAATCCTCCAGAAGGTTCCGTGAGACTCAGTCGGAGATCGCCGTCGACGCTTTCGGCCGGCGATCGTGCGATCTGGCGCCAAGATTCTCCCTGGATGCTGGCCGGATCTCGTTGGACGATCCAAGGTACTCCTTTGATGAACCTAGGGTTTCTTGGGACGGTTACTTGCTCGGCCGATCCGTACACCCTCGGCTTGCTCCAATGCTCGCCGTCGTCGAGGACGTCCCGACTCCCGTGATCCATCGATCGGACGGTCAGATCCCGGTCGAAGAGGATCTAACGGTCCCCGGCGGCTCTCAGCAGACGAAGGAATACTACAACGATACTTCATCTAGAAGCCGGAGGCGGAGCTTGGACAGATCGAATTCAGTCAAAAGATTGAGCGTGGAGATGAACGAGGCAAAGCCTGTGTCCAATGCAAAGGTCTCACCTGCTGGCAACACTGAGTTCTTCAGAGATTGGAGCTCCAATTCTACGAGAGAGAATCGGTCTGAGAGCTTTGGGTCCGCTTCAATAGAGGACTCACACAAGCTTCATCCAAGTAAGAAGGCAAAAAGATGGAGCATTTGGGGATTTATACACCGATGGAGTAGTAGCAGGGGAGGAGACAATGTTGTTGATACATCGTTTTCCGAGTCTTGGCCGGAGTTGAGATTTAATGGAAAGGTTTCAAGGAGTAATAGCAATGTGAGCTCGAGGAGTTCCATTTATGGCAATGTCGGGTTCAGGAGCACGAAGCAGAACGGGTTGGAGACGAATGGGACCGGGAAGAAGAAGAGGGACGAGTTTGTGTTGGAGAGGAATCGAAGTGCAAGATTTTCTCCAGGACATGTCGATAATGGGATGTTAAGGTTTTACTTGACGCCGATGAGAGGTAGCCGAAGGGGATTGGGGATGAATAGGCCCAATAATAGTTATCATTCCTTTACGAGGAGTGTGCTTGGACTGTACTAAGCCTGAAATTGGCTTCTTACTCAGGTTCCTGTTCTACCTAGATGTAATTTGATAATCCTTTGGTTGTTCTTTTATGGATAGAGTGGTATAAACTTAACATTGGATACTGGTTGGTTAATCCAAAGTATTGCCTTATTTTGGCGGTCTTTTTTCTTCTTTTCCTTGCATTGCCGTCTACAAATCATATGTTAGAAAATAGTATGAAGAGGAATTCTTATGATTTTCTCGCACTGGCAAGAGTTGCTGGTCAAAAGTTCTTTACAAATGCTATGGTGCAGATATTTTCATCTATATTCATTGCAGAAGTTTAGTTCGTTATTTGCTTATTGCTGACCTCCACAGATATGCCTGGTGAGTGTATCACCACCAATGTTTGTAAAAAGACTTTGTTTTGATTGTGATTGTTGTTGTTACAAAATTCTTGTCGTCAAGATCGTGGTTGTTGTTGTTACAAAATTCTTGTTGTCAAGATCGTGGTGGTTGTTACAAAATTCTTGTTGTCAAGATCTTGAATATAGGTCCGTGGGGGCAAATGTTGATTTCAAAAGCCCTGCAGACAGTAATAATAGGAAACTGTTTATCGCTGAAATGGTTAAAGTTCTGTATTATGTTAAGGATTATGCTGTAAATGGTTAAAATTTTGACACCCAGCAGTTTGTATGTATTTTTCTTTTAGGTTTTGCATTCTGTTGGGACGCAGTGCTACCATCATACCCACTAATGGACTAATATGACTTATGTTTATTTCAAGTGACTTGGTTCATACTTGGTAATATACTGACCTACCTGTTAAGAACTAGTGGCACATTCACACGTTCACAGTTTTTGGACGAGTAAAAGCAGAGTTTGCACTGAAACAGTCAGTTCCTAGTTTCAGGTAAGTGGTCTGCTTACTTGTCATTCTCTACATGTACTAAACTTCTGACATGCTTTCTGAAGCAAAGTATTGTTTTTATGCTCGGTGCTTTCTGGCTTTTCCTTTTTTTTTTTCAAGATAGAGTTCACATTTCATCAGCCTCAATAGGAGATTCAAATTTTGGCTTTAGAGCCTACAGGTCATCGGCATGAGACTGGAGCAAAGCCTGTAAAGCTTCTCAGACCCCCACTAGCGCTACACCTCGGCCCCATTATGTATTCTTTTCCTAGCCATTCAATCCATTCGGTCATTTTCTGCAATGGGCAATCACTGGCTTCTGACCGATGCTCTCTCCCTTGCTAAAGAAAGCAAGTAATTAGTTTTGTACTATCCAGATATAGAAGTGAACAGTTCACAAAGAGAGAAGGAAAGCAAGTAATTAGTTTTATCTTACAACTGAAGGAAGTTTTATGTCCGGCTGATTGGGTCTTATTCAGGAATTCCACGGTGAAAACACTGCAGTCACCACTTTCTTCCCAAGTTGGCATCATCTGTTAGCTAAACTAAATCACCTGAAGAGATGGCTTCTCATGGTAAGTTTCTTCTCTATTGGATGATGTGATCATTTTACATAACCTGGATACTTGGCATGTTGTTTTGATGTAATATTTATGGCTATCTGGTATTTAGGCAAACGGTCTTTTCCTTTTTCTCTTCTTTTCTTTGTTTGTTTTGTTTGTTTGCTTATTTCTTTTTTATAACTTCAAGATAGTGTTGTTATGAGTTATGATTGAAGAACTAAAATTAGAAGAATTATCTTTTCTTTAAAACCTCATCAGGTGTACATGTTGCACATAAATCTTATATCAATCATGGCAATTATCCGACTGCACTCGTTGGCAATTAGAAGAATCCAACATGCATATTCAACTTGTATGTCTTATTAGAGGAACTATCTTGTACTAGGAAACATAATTAAAATTGTTCTGCTTTTGTATATTCTCCTTGTCTGGTAAATAGTGCATGGTTTATTCACTCCACTTTTTACAGGAATCCAATGTCAACTTGTCATTCGAGACAAATGAGAACTTACATGATGTGGTTCGTGCAGATAACTGATTCCTAGAAGAATAAATTCTACCTATTTTCAATTGTGAGAATCCTTCTCTTTTGTACCTTTCTTGGATCTACAACAAGTGTTGTTTTGATGACTCCCAATAAGAATTCATGCCTTACTTATCAAATGGAACTCTCATACCTCTTAAGAACATTCTTGGAATATTATATCTTTCTTATTATTTCAAAATGCTGTAAATAAACCTAGATTGAAGCAGTACTAAGGAAAATACTAAGCTGAATCATCTCTCAGATAAAGCCCAGTGGAGCGACAATAATACATCATTTCTGATTCCTGACTCCTTAAGCAGCCAAAGTTAACCGTGACTTGCATGTATTTGGTATAAATCATGATATATTTATGTTATTGGATAACTATACTTTCCCACCATATAATTTCTCATGTTTTACCTGACTATCAGGCAGTGTTTATATTACAATTCACAGCCTAGTATCTAATGTGAACATCCTGTCGTCAAGCAAATTAATGAGGATTTTACTAGACAGAAGTAGAACCGAATATTTCTGTTTCCTATTAAGAATCCTTGTTATTTTTCCAGTTTATTTTTATTATAAATGATAATGCTGATTGTGCAAGGAAATATTATTGATCTATGTTCATACGTCGTTCTTGTCTGGTTAACAATACATTGTTTAATGATCTCCCTTTACTTTTTACATGAATCTAACGTCCGCTTGTCAATTCAGATCATTAAAGCCTTACTTGATATGGTTGGTGCAGATGGTTGTATATTCATGTGTGATGCTATCCTCAAAACAGAATTCACATGCTCTCAACTGTAAGAATCCTTCACTTACCGAACTTTGTTGGATCTATAACAAGCTTTCTTTTTCCCTGATTTCTTCCAAGTAATGTTCATGACTTAATTTATACATGAACCCTGAAGACGCCTTAGAAGTATGAATCAGATTTTTCGGAGTTTTTCTGTAAACAGTCAATTATGTAATGATTATTGATTCCTTAAGCACCCAAAGTAAACCTACAGCAACATATACCGAAAATTAAGCAGGTGGATGTTTTGAACAAGCACCTCTACTGGTTGTGGCAATGCCAGCGTCATTCAGCTCAGCAGCTATAATAGGCCATAGTTTCTGCTTGTGTGCCTCAGTAGTTTCTGCTTGTGTGCCTCAGATGCGCAATCCATGTCATGAAAGAGTTCAAAATGGTATCACAGATTAAAGTTATTCTATGGGACAAATTCCGAGCCTGACGAATTTATGATGCAAGTATTTTAGTCCACTGAATCAATAGAAACCCAATGACACCAGATATTTCTTATTATTTCAGAACATTGTTGCTAACTTAGTATTCATGCTGAGCAAGGGGTTACTATGTACTGCTCTCAGTTGGGGTTGAAAAGATCCATTAAGGTTGGAAAGACCCAATCTACTTGGTTGAATTGACTCGTAAGGATCAATCCTATTTGATTCATGAGTCCAAGTATATTTAATCAGTCAATCTTACCCCCTTTCCAATGTCGTACTAAATCTCAGCTTGTGCCTTTTTCTAAACCAAATCCATACTTAACCTAATGGATTGGGTCTCTACACTAATGGATGCTTGTGCTTTCAAGACTTAAAAAGTAGCCAGTTAATACTGGCTTAGCTCTTGTTTCTGTCATAAGTCTGGATAGGCGCAGCTACACGATGCAAAGTTTGAAGTTTGATTAATTGGTTTTATCCCACCAGGAGTTTCCTTTGTATTCTTGAATTTTGCCTGAACAGAACAGTAGCAGCAATACCCGCGTCTGTAGTCCTGGGTTAATGTTGTTTTGGTCAAGCCAGCTCGCTTCTGGGCGTGCAGACAAAATATGTAGGCTTAAGCAAGAAATTTCATAGGTATTAGCATCCAACATCTAATCCTTAATGTATCAGTTCGTTGCCTGACATCGAACCTTTCTGGTGGTAGTTATTGCAGGACACTGCTCCTAAATATGCAGGATTTATTCCAGGTATATTTGATAAACGTTGCGGTAAGCTCATGTAACTTCAAATTATTTTGTTTTGTCTTTGCATAGCAGCAGCGACTACAAGTGATAATTTTACTGTTCTTCGCTTGGGCAGCACCATCGTCCATGTGACCATTGGAGATCATCTTTCTTCTCTCTTTTTGCTGCGAAGTTGGATATGGTTGCCCCCGCGTAAAAAAAAAAAGATGCAGTTTAAAGAGAGACTATTTTCTTCAACTGTCGGGCACGAAGATCAGACTATTAATGCACAGTTCTCTTCTCCAAGGTGGAAAAATATCGAGCAGGGTCCCTCAGCTTTGAGATCATGATTGATAGAATCGGATGATGGCTTGCACAAGGGGCATTTAGCAGAGGTGACATCTTAATGAATATGTCATGTTGATAATTTGATCTCACATTCCACAGAATAATTGAACGATATGCTAAGCAGAAATTATTGCACATAATTTTGGTTAATTACAGTGCTACTTAGGGGTGCATACAGTTTGGATACGGCTAGGACATGGTACTTATCATATTTATATTCGTTTACCAATTACGGATACGGATATGGATATGCTTCGGTAAGGAAAATTCATATCTATATCCGCTAAAATTGGATACAGATGCGGATATGCGTGTAATAAAATAAATGAATATGCATGCGGATAAAAAACAAATATATGATAAAACTAAATAATATTGAATATATATAGTCACATGATACATGAGAGTTCATTAACATGTTCAACTTAGGAAAGACCACCCCTCCCATGCAAATGCGCTTAATAGCGCCCACATTGAGATATTTCTACGCTACACGTTACACCACGTTAACCCATCTCCATGTGATGCATGTTACCCGAAACTGAGATGAAACCGTGGCCCCTGATCTTGGATCTCAGAGGGAGGGTCATCCCCCGGAATCTGAGGGAATCAGATCTCAGTGATCAGCTCCGATATTTTCCCACCCTCTTCAGACGACAAAATTCTTGAGCCCCCCTTCTCTCTCTCTCTCTCTTTTTATCTTTTGTCGCCGTCGTCGTCTCCGTCTCCCCACGTCCCTCTCATTCTCCCTCGATCGTCCGCTCAAAAATATCTCTCTTTAATTTTCTTCAGCTTCCTCTAGCTAGTCACGTGACGCCTTTTCGTGGGTCTCGTGACGCCCGGGGAAGGGCCGCGGCTTTTTATAAATAAATATATATCCTCAACCCCTCCGTTGAAGGAAATCCGGGTCCATTCGTTTCTTCAATCTCGAGGTTCCCAGCTCTTGGTCACAAATTTCCTCCTTCGCGATCCAGCATTTTCCTTGAAAACTTATTAACCGTTCGACTTACACATATTAATTCAGGGGCCACTTCGGCTCGATTAATGGCGCACAGGAAACGAACGCGGCGGGCCCGCCGCTAAAGATGCCGATAGCCGCACTGCGCGATGCTTGTCGTCCTTCGTCAGAGATCGCATCGAACATAGCCTACCACTCCCGCTACAGCCCTCATTTCTCCCCTCTCAAGTTCGACCCTGAGCAGGCTTTCTATGCCGCGGCGGAGAGCGTCCGCGATCGCCTTATCCAGGTGATCGGGTTCTTGATTATGTCTGTGCATTTCTTGATTTATTTATTTATTTTTGAAAACTTACACGATCTCTTTCTTGCTGATCGAAGAGCTGGAATGAGACGTTCCTCCACTTTCACAAAGCCGATCCCAAACAGACCTACTATCTGTCGATGGAGTACCTTCAAGGCCGAGCTCTCTCTAATGCCATCGGTAATTTAGGCATCCGAGATGCTTATGCTGATGCCTTGACGAAACTGGGTCATCAGCTCGAAAAAGTTGCAGAGCAGGTAACCAGATTTCTTTTCGCTGGATTACAAAAAAAAGAAAAAAGAAAAAAACATTCGATCGCTCGTTCTTGATTGCTGATCAAATTAATGATCATTAAGTTATGGATGTAACCACCCATTTTCAATATAATAATCATATATATATATATTTGCATGAGGCATGAGGGTGCATATCCAATGGCATTGATATTAGCTTTTAAAACCTTAGCGAGATTTTCTTTCAATCATGCAAACGTTAGGAGTGACTTTTTTGTAATTTGGCCTCTCTTTGTTGTAATTGATTTTTCGCCGTGATTGATTGCGATTCACCTTGTAATCCAGGAGAAAGATGCGGCGTTGGGAAATGGAGGGTTAGGAAGGCTCGCATCTTGCTTTCTAGATTCTATGGCGACGTTGAATTTGCCTGCTTGGGGCTACGGTTTACGGTACAGATATGGGCTTTTTAAGCAGAAGATATCTAAGGAGGGACAGGAAGAACTGGCTGAGGATTGGCTTGAGGTGAGGTATCATGTTTTAATGCAACAAGCTCTGCGAAGAATCATGTAGTAACATGTTTTGTTTGATCGTCCTCGTATTTAACAGAAGTTCAGTCCTTGGGAAGTTGTCAGGCATGATATTGTATTTCCCATAAGGTTCTTTGGCCATGTCGAGGTCTCTCCTACAGGATCGTAAGTGCCAGTTTTATCTTTGGTGTTTGACGCAGTTTCTTTGAGAAATTACAAGTTGCCTTAGTAATCAGTTCTTAACAGAAAGTTTAATGTATAAGGAAAATAGGTTGAATGGATTTTGATTGGTAAATACAGGGCATAATTTACGGAGAGAATGCCAATCGAACCATTATTTTGATGTGACAAAGACATTCTCATCAAATTACATCATGATCCTACATGAGAGTGTGGTACTTTGTGTTGACGTTTTTTTTGCATTAACTGTGGCAGCCGAAAATGGGTTGGGGGAGAGGTTATTCAGGCACTTGCATATGACGTACCGATTCCTGGATACAAAACGAAAAACACTATCAGTCTTCGTCTATGGGAAGCAAAAGCTAGTGCAGAAGATTTCAATCTGTTTCAGTTTAATGACGGGCAGTATGACTCTGCTGCTCAACTTCACTCCAAGGCTCAGCAGGTTTGCTATCTGTAACACTCTCTGTGTCACGTGCCTAGAATATGTTTAACCTGGTGCCATACGATCCTAAATCTTGTCATCTACTGTTATCCATGCCTAAATCTCTTATCTCTATCTTATAGAGGATTTTCTATGCAACATATATTACCTATCTGGCATTATATGTTCCTTGTTCTTATTGACTGTTCATAATAGCCTGTGAGTGAACTCGAAGAATAATGTTCAACTACCTTCTGGTTCTCTTGCAATGTATTCCTTTGGGCCTTTGCTTCTATCTGTTCCATGGAGGTGAATATAAGTAAGTTTACCTATCATGCTTCATTTATTCTAGACTTAGTCTGTTACTTAGCTTAGGACCTAGGAGAAATAAAAGGCTGCTCGTTGATTGAACAAGCTTAGACTACATAACAAATTACGTGTGTGTTGCTGCCTGCTGACTGGCCTTTAGGATTTAAAACGATTCTTATGCCCATTGTTTCCTTGGATGAGAATTTGGCTCTGTTTAAGGAGTTAATATCAGCCGCTGATCATAAAATATTGTCAAAATTTACTGGAATCTTGTGCTTCAACAGTTCACCGTATTTTGGTGGGAAATGGTTATGATGCTAACGTATAGTGGGGGAATTAGTATCTTATTTGCTTGCAAAACTTTGTTCTTGCTTTCTGACTTTGGAAATTGTATGTCGTAGATATGTGCAGTTTTATACCCTGGAGACGCTACTGAAGATGGGAAGATTCTAAGACTGAAACAACAGTTTTTTCTTTGCAGTGCATCACTGCAGGTATGACAACGTAAAACTAAGTTGAGTTGCTTTTTATGTCTTAATCTGTATATTTTGTATCTTTTATGTTCGCAGAGAAAGTAATCATACACCAATATATCAATAATATTCAAATGATAAATGTCCTTATTTCTGGCATTTTTGTGAGTCTCTAATCCATATCGGGTGGTATGAAGGCCTAAAAAGTTCCTGTCATAGTAGTCAATTTGGAAGTTGGACATTTCACTAATACTGGAAGCAACAATCAGAAGCAAACAATATTCTGATTTTGCCAGTTTGCAGATATTAGGTAGTGCCAGTAGATGAATGACTTTTGGCATCAAGGATAGAGCATACGGGATATTATTTGATTCTATAGTTCATTATGATTATTAATTTCAGTTAACCGTAATTGTAAACATCAAAAAAATTCATGCAAGTATTTTGGCTTGTCCTTGTGAATCCATCCCTACCATAAGAATGGATTCACTTTCTGTTGCTTCCACCAGCATACCCTGCCACAACTTTTGTCGTTGGCCTTCCCCTCATGATCTTTGACAACGTCTCACTGCATAAACTCATACAATGATGCAGGATATCATTTTCCGATTCAAGGAGAGAAGAGATGGCAAAGGAGCATGGCAGTGGTCAAATTTCCCAGACAAGGTTGCCGTTCAGTTGAATGATACTCATCCAACTCTTGCTATCCCAGAACTGATGAGACTACTCATGGATGACGAGGGGCTTGGTTGGGATGAAGCTTGGGATATAACATCAAGGTATTCGGTGGTTTGTATGATTGTTTGTCCTGATAGGACTTTTAAGCTGAAATAGTCTTTTGACTATACTCTTTTTTTTATTTAAAATGGACTTACTGACTAGAAACAAATTATGATATATTTTTTATAGGACAATTGCTTATACAAATCACACAGTTCTCCCAGAAGCACTAGAGAAATGGTCACAGTCTATAATGGCTAAACTGCTTCCTCGTCATTTGGAGATCATAAAAGAAATTGATAAGAGGGCATGTCGATTACCCTTTTGATTTCTCCTGCATGCAAAATAACCTATAGTTCCAGAATAACCAGTTTCTTAATTCCATAATTGTGCAGTTTATAGCTATGGTAATGTCTGGCTCAACTGGTATGGAGAGCAAGATTGCCACAATGAGGATACTTGATGACTCCAATCCCCAGAAGCCTGTTGTACGCATGGCTAATTTGTGTGTGGTGTCTTCACACAAGGTAAGGGGCTTTCCATGCTAGAGGATGGGGAAAACCTAAGTACTATTTGGTTTTTTAATTGATTCTCAGATTACTTTATCTAGTAAAGTCCACTTAACATCCACAGTGATGGCAGCAGTGCCTTCAAATGTCTGAAAAAATAATTGCATTTTAAAGTTGACTCATTTTTTCCTCATAGTTTTCCAAGTAGTCTGAACCACGTGCCTGAATCTTACAAGACTCAAATTGTGCACCCCTTAAGTACTGCAGGTAACATTACCTTGGGGTACCCTCCCAAACACCGGAAATCTAAGGGGTGAGGGCCACTTGATAGCCCTCATTGGGGGAGTAAGATAATTCCTTCCAGTAGGAAGAATCAGGTTACTCCTGTGCACTCCCTTCTCGCTTTAAAAATAAGTGGTACACCTCGTGTTATCTCTAGGGATGAGGGTATTGGTTTCTGACCATGTTTTCATCTCGAAAACCAGTTATCTTGTTAACCTACTTACACGACTGTTTTTTGTTTAGAGTTTATGTGTGAAATTCATATTTTAAATAAGCTCTTTTTGTTTATTTTAAATAAGCTCTTTTTTTGCCACCATTACTTTCTGTATATGAGCCATGTTCTCACCAACAACATAAAGCTATCTTCAATTAGTCAATTCATTATTTAATGATGTTTAAGTTATAAAATGATATTCCTCTTTGCTTTCCAGAGAGTGTAAAAGTGAGATGAAACTTGGTGAATGTTTCTGTAGGTAAATGGAGTTGCTCAGCTACACAGTGACATCTTAAAATCAGAGTTATTTGCGGATTATGTCTCCATATGGCCTACCAAATTTCAAAACAAAACTAATGGCATTACACCTCGAAGGTGGCTTCGCTTTTGCAACCCAGACTTGAGTGATATAATTAGCAAATGGCTGAAAACAGATGAATGGATTACTAACCTTGACATTCTTACCGGCCTTCGCCAAGTATGTGTTTATTTTTCTTATAAATCTTTATAATTCTTTGCATTTTTTGTGTAGTATGTTAATTTACTTTCTATCCAACAGTTTGCTGACAACGAGGAGTTGCATGCTGAGTGGGCCTCAGCCAAGATGGCCAGCAAATACCGCCTGGCACAGTATGTATTGCAAGTGACGGGTGTGACAATTGACCCCAATAGCCTCTTTGACATTCAAGTCAAGCGCATACACGAGTATAAGAGACAGTTGCTTAACATTTTGGGTGCAGTATATCGATACAAGAAACTGAAGGTGTGGATAGATTATAGAACCCAATTTATTAATTTAAATGGCTACAGAAATTTCCTGGTTTTTGAAACTTCGAGGTCTATATTCGCCATTTGCCTCTCACAACATCCATGTTAAGACCCCATCAAAATATCTGACAAAAAATATTCACGTCCATCCGCATTAAAATCCAGCATCAATAGGGTTAGAAAGGGAATAATTTATACATATATTTGACAATTTTTTCTAGTGATACACATGTATCTTTTTTGACACCATGTGCCGTCAAGTAAAATAATGTGTTTTTTTTCCCTTTATCTTTTTTAAAATAAATTAATTAAGTTACCAACTGATATAATTTATACAGATGCTATATGTATTTATCTAAGGAATCTCCTATCTGCTGAAAATTAATTTTGTAAACAATTTGATCCTTATGTGAGAAGAGAATATTGGAACGACTTTTGTAGGAAATGAGCATCGAAGAGAGAAAGAAAACAACACCACGGACAATTATGCTTGGAGGAAAAGCATTTGCAACATACACCAATGCTAAAAGAATAGTCAAGCTGGTGAATGATGTTGGTGCAGCCGTCAATAATGATCCTGATGTCAACAGCTATTTGAAGGTGTCGTAGTTTTCTCTGCCATGCAATTACAACATTTTTCTGCGTTTTGTGTGGTAACTGTTGACAAAATGGTAGCATTATCTCATAAACTTTAAAGTCTTTTTAAATAATGGATACATTTCAAGAAACCACCATAAGCTTTACTCGTGTTTCCAGAAAAGTATCATAAACTCTATTTGTTGCAGGAAACTACCTTGGATACTGCCATGAACCTTAAATTTCATAGTCTAAAGGTCATGACAGTTTTCTATGAAATGTTAAAATTGCTTAGTACTTTCTTAAAACTTGCTCTTTGATAACTTCTGGAATTTTGCTGCTTACCTTCGTTTGCCTTTTTAACTTTTGAGTGTCTTGCTGAACTTTGTAGGTTTGCTTCTGCTATCTGTGTCCTCAATCTTCAACCTTCATTATTTGGCTGAATAGTTGTGTTTCTCTATTGCTGCAGGTGGTCTTTGTACCAAACTACAATGTATCTGTTGCCGAAATGCTCATCCCTGGTAGTGAGCTGTCTCAACACATCAGCACTGCAGGCATGGAGGCTAGCGGAACTAGCAACATGAAATTTTCATTGAATGGTTGCCTCATAATTGGAACTCTAGACGGTGCAAATGTTGAAATCAGAGAAGAGATAGGGGAAGAAAATTTCTTCCTTTTTGGTGCCAAAGCAGATGAGGTTCCAAGACTGCGCAAGGAGAGAGAAGCAGGACTGGTAATGGCTTATTGATGTTAAGAGAACTAAACTCCTTAAGCTAGTATGCTAAGTCCCATTTACTAAACTATGAGTTTCCAAAACAGCATCGTTTCCTTTTTTTTAATGTTTTCAATCCCTTCCACTAACTACAGGCTGTTGATTATTAATATACGTTATTTGATACTGGTTTATATTATCTGACTCAAGATTTTAGAAATGGCATGTAGCTTCTGTTTACTTAAAATCTGATTCACCGGTAAAGTGTAATTATATAAGGCTAATTACATTTTTCGGTCTGTTCTCTACGTGTACAGTTTAAGACAGATCCGCGATTTGAAGAGGCCAAGCTATATATAAGAAGTGGCGTCTTTGGTAGCTACGATTACAATCCTCTCCTAGATTCATTGGAAGGAAATTCTGGTTATGGGCGAGGCGATTATTTCCTCGTTGGTCATGACTTCCCAAGCTATATGGATGCTCAGGCCAGAGTGGACGAAGCGTACAAGTAAGTGGCACCAGTGACCAGTTCATTTCTAATCCATCCTTTTATGTGCCTTCCCATACTTGTTATTTTGGAATATCAATTTTCTTGGAATGATTTTTGTCTATATCTTCATAAATCTACTTAGACTATAAACAGGTACAGGGGTTAAGAAGACTATGAAAAAAGCATCATAAATTCAATTGAGCAAAAGGTGGAAAATCAAAAAATAAAATTGAGAAATAGAACAATAATAACTGCATTTCTTCTATCTATTGTCTGTACTTCTCTGCATGTTTCAGTTCTATGCAAGTATCAAGTGCATTTTATGCTCATATTGTTGGCAACTACAAACCTAGTATAGTATCTTCACATTGCCATCATCCTCATTGTCCTTTTTTATCAATTTCGACCTAATGGTAATTAATTAGGCGTAAACTTCAAATTTTGCAATTTTCGTGGATCATAGCCAACGATTTTTGTGCATTGTATTTGTTTCAACCCAATGAGAACTAATTATGTATACTTCAAAATTCACGATTTTTGTAGACTACAACCTATGATTTTTGTTAGTTTTTATTCATTTTGACTCAATGACAAATAAGTATGCATACTCAAACTTCAAGATTTTTATTGGTTATAACCCACTATTTTTTTCCCAATTTTATTCTTCTTGACCCATTGGAAATTATCTAAGCATATTTGAAAATTATGATTTCATGGGCTATAACCCATGATTTTTATCGATTGTCATTTGTTAAACCCATTGACGATTAATCACGCATACAAAAAAATCACGATTTTCATTGGATATAACTCACAATTTTAGTCTATTTTCGTTTGTTTCAACCAAATGGCAATTAAATATTCTTTCATAAAAAATAATGGGCTAAGATCAACAATTTTTATCAATTTTTCTTTATTCGACACGAAGACAAATAAGTATGCGTACTTTGAAATTTATGAAATTAATTTTGCAAACTTCAATAGTCGCGATTATAATGGGTTGTAACTCACGATTTTTGTTTGTTATCATTCATTTGACCCAATGACAATTATTTATGACTATAAATTCACGATTTTGATGAGTTACAACCTATGAATATGACAATTTTTATTCGATTCGTCTCAATAGTGATTTTACGTACTTTAAAATTTGTAATTTTTATGGGCTGTAACCCCCAATTATTATCAATTTTTGTTCCTTGCCCTAATGACAAGAAAGTATGCGTACTTCGAAATTTGTCATTTTCAAAGGTTATTATTGTTCATGATTTTTATCAACTTTTGTTCGTTTTGACCTAATAGCAATCGATTGTTCAAACTTGAATAATCTTAATTTTCATGGGCTCATGATTTTTCTCCATTATCGTTCATTCGACCCAATGATAATTATGAGTACTTCAAAATTCACAATTTATTTTGACAAATTTTGTTTGCTTCGTCCCAATAGCAAGTAATTATGCATACTTCAAAGTTCACGATTTTCGTGAACACCAACGATTTTTATCAATTTTCATTCACTTCAATCCAATGTTAATTAATTATGCATATCTCAAACATTTGCGATGTTCATAGCCTATTAAAAACGATTTTAGAAAATCGTGATTTTCATGAGCAATAACCTATGCTTTTTTTCAATTTTTATTACTCGACCAAATGGCAAATAGGTATGCATATTTTGAAGTTTGTGATTTTTATGGACTATAGCTCATTATTTTTGTCTATTTTTGTTCATTTCGACCCCACAACAATGAATTGTGTGAATTTTCAATTGTCGCAAATTTAATTGGCTATAACCCATAATTTTAATCTATTATCATTCATTGGACCAAATTGCAATTAATTATCACTACTTCAAAATTAGAGATTTTTATGGGTTATTAACGTGTGGTTTTAGCAATTTTTGTTCTTTGCCATTTGTCCTAGTGGCAAGTAATTATACCTAAGCCAAAATTCGCGAATCTCATAACCTATAATCTACAATTTTTGAAAATTTTGTCATTTGATCCAATGTCAATTAATTATATGTATTTCAAAATTCAAAACTTTCATTGCTTATTACAGTCGATTTTTAAACATTGCAGTTTTCAGGGGCTATAACCTATGATTTTTGACAATTTTCGACTTAACGATAATTAATTATGCATAATTTAACATTTGCAATTTTTTCCCATTATTATCATTCATTCAACCAAATACGAATTTAGAATAACTACTTCAAAATTCATAATTGTCATAGGTTACAATCCACGATTTTCGCAATTTTTGTTTGTTTCTTCCAAATGACATAATTATGTGTGTTATAAAATTTGCAATTTTTATATGCTATAACCGTAATTTTTGTCATTTTTCGTTCGTTTCGAGTCGATGTCAATTAATTTTGCATACTTCAAAATTCAATATTTTCACGGGATATTACCAATTATTTTCAAAAATTACAAATTTTATGGGTTATAACCCACGATTTTCATCAATTTTGACCATTAATTATACATGAAAATTTATGATTTTCGTGAGTTACAACCCACAATTGGTCATTTTTCGTTAAGTTCAACCCAGTCTCAATGATGCGTACTTTAAGATTCAAGATCTTCATAGGCTATACCATCGCAATTTTTATGGGTTACAACCCATGGTTTGTCAATTTTTATTTTTTGCGACCCCATGACAATTAATTATACATATTTCAAAATTCAAGATTTTTCAAGAGCTTTTAGCATTCCCTAGAAATCAGCCTATCCGATAGCATCTAAGCTCAGTATCTTTCTAAAGATTGTTGATTTTCAACTTGCGAATGAGATTAACTTTCATTGCTTATTACAGTCGGTTTTTAAACATTGCAGTTTTCAGGGGCTATAACCTATGATTTTTGTCAGTTTTCGACTTAACGACAATTAATTATGCATAATTTAACATTTTCAATTTTTGTCCATTATTATCATTCATTCAACCAAATACGAATTTAGAATAACTACTTCAAAATTCATAATTTTCATAGGTTATACAATCCACGATTTTCGCAATTTTTGTTTGTTTCTTCCAAATGACATAATTGTGTGTTAAAATTTGCAATTTTCATCTGCTATAACCGCAATTTTTGTCATTTTTCGTTCGTTTCGAGCCGATGTCAATTAATTTTGCATACTTCAAAATTCAAGATTTTCACGGGATATTACCAATTATTTTTAAAAATTATAATTTTTATGGGTTATAACCCACCATTTTCATCAAATTTGACCATTAATTATACATACTTGAAAATTTGTGATTTTCATGAGTTACAACCCACAATTGGTCATTTTTCGTTCAGTTCAACCCAGTCTCAATGATGCGTACTTCAAGATTCAAGATCTTCATAGGCTATACCAACAATATTGAAATATCGTAATTTTTATGGATTACAACCCATGGTTTGTCAATTTTTATTCTTTCCGACCCCATGACAATTAATTATACATATTTCAAAAGTCAATATTTTTCAAGAGCTACTAGCATTCCCTAGAAATCAGCCTATCCGATAACATCTAAGCTCAGTATCTTTCTAAAGATTGTTGATTTTCAAGTGGCGAATGAGATTAACTTTAACCGCATGCTGTGGGTAAAGTCACCTTTGTCATTATGCGAAGAGCTTTCTTATGGTTTACCTCTGCGTTTTCAGGGACAGAAAACGATGGCTGAAGATGTCCATTTTAAGCACTGCAGGAAGTGGCAAGTTCAGCAGTGACAGAACAATTGCTCAGTATGCAAATGAAATATGGGGAATAAAGCCCTGTCCAGCTCCATAAGCTTTTTCAAGGAGCTCAGCTTCCAAATAACGCATATACTTATAAAAAGGCACAAGTGCTGTATAAACACATCACATATCCGTTCTATATGATGGACTGCATTCTTGAAATGTATGTGCTTTTGGTTCTTAAAGAGTTATACTTCCAGCAAAGCATGCACACAGATTTGAAGTCGTGGGTATCCTCAAGGTAAAACATCGTCGAGATAATCGTTGTGCAAATACAAGATGGCGGCCAAACTTTCTTGTTCATCTTAATCCTTCTTAGGTGTGGTACCCAGCTCACTCGTGCGTGCTCGACTCGCGAATAAAGCACGTGCGACTACACACGGTGCATAGCGGTCACCCACCTCCACCTATGCTTGTAAGAAATTAGAATCCTCAAACTCAGTAGTAAGTACAGGCCTCCAGCACTCCTGAAGCCTACCTTTCACTTGCTAGGAGGTCACTTCGCGCGCTGGCGAAAGAAGAAACCAAAAGAGTCCGGTCAGGCATAAAGCGACAGTGAACCAAATTGAGCAAATTGCAACTGGGGGAGCTCTTTTCGCCTCCAGAACCAGTTGAACTGCAAAGATAGCAAGCGCAACATCAACTACATCAACGGTGGAGCTCCCATTATACCACAGCTGAACCATCTGCAGCCACAGCTAACCATAACAGAAAATGCAGATAACATGATACAATGCAAGCAAAAGCTTGTTCCTCCTCAATATCGAATTACATAAGCACGCTAAGAAAGTTAAAAAAAAGCATCCAACATTAAACACGAAAATATGAGAAGTAACATTAAACTTGGCATATAGCAAAGCTTAACAAGTTCCTCCTCCATACCCAAGACAACTTATTAGAACAGACCTCATATCTATCAGATAAGATACCACACAGAGATCAACACAGCTCGCTGTCTATTACGCAGACCTCACAGGAGAACTTGAAACAGATCTTGAACCCATACTGCGGCTGTGAGAATAACTTTCCCTAGAATGTCTCCTCTTGCTACGGCGAGGTGATTCACTGCATGAGGAAGAAGGGCTCCTCCTTGATCTCTTGGATGAATAGCTTCGAGAGCCGCTCCTCTTTGATGATCCTCCCCTTGACCCAGGTGACAAACTCCTCGAATAGCTTCTCCTTGACCTACCCCTTACATCTGGTGAAACACTAGGTGAATAGCTCCTTTTTGATCTTCTTGGCCTTGGTGAAACACTTGGGGGGTTTCTCCTCAAGCTCCTCCTTGTTACTGGAGAGACACTTCGCAAAACTGAGCGCTCAGGGGAATAGGACCTAGAGTCACGAGAGTAGGATCGATGCCTCCTTTCATAGTATGGAGAGTATGATCGGGATCTGTGCCTTCTTTCGTAACATGGTGAGTATGATCGAGATCTATGCCTCCTGTAGTAAGGCGAGTATGACCGTGATCTATGCCTTCTTCCATAATATGGAGAGTATGATCGGGATCTGTGCCTCCTATAGTAAGGAGAGTATGATCGGGATCTATGCCTCGATCTATAGTAAGGAGAGTATGATCGGGATCTATGCCTCGATCTATAGTAAGGAGAGTATGACCTGTCCCTTTCAGAGTAGTAGTCGGGTGAACTATATCGACCCCTGTAGTAGGGAGAATAGCTCCGAGAACGGTGTCGACCTTTTACAGAAATATAAAGAACAATGAGCACATAGCAATAACTAAAAATGTTACTCCCTAGATATCAACCAACATCTGATAAAATGTTTGCGGGTGGCAGCAACAAGGAAATATTAAAACATTACACATTTAATGACAAAAGAGAATATAGAGCTTAGGATTACCAGTTCTTGCGCCCAGGTACCGGCCTGGAGTTGGAGTTCGTCCACACCGTCTTCTAGCCTAGAAAAAAGTTGAACTACGTCAGCTCTAAAAATGCAACTGTTAAGTACAAAAAATTTGAAGGCAGCACACACTATTAGCAGTAATATTAATCTCGGTGAACAAGAAACCAACTTAAATAAATGACAATTATTCAAAGAAATGTAGGGCATACAACCCTTTAGCTAGTCTGATTGAAGTGATGATATGTGATTGGTAAGGTTGAAGTAAGGCTTTTGAAATTTGATGAAGAGCTGCTACGCACAGCTACCCTGCTGTCAAAAACACTTCAGGCGAAGTCATACCTCAAACTCACTAGCAATAGTTACTATATTATAATACAAGAAAATGAACCGAGTTGGACATTAAGAACAGACGATCCAAAATCAGCTTATAAGGATAACAAACCAAATCAGATGGTTGATATACCTTTTCAACAGTAATGACTCGGCCTTCCAATATAGATCCATCTAGATATTTAATGCAACGATCTGCATCCTCCAGAGTGTCCATTGTCACAAATCCAAACCCACGGGATTCTCTTGTCCAAGGGTCCGCTACAAGGTGGACATCAGAAACCTGCAGATGAAGGGAAGCAGTACAGCTTCGCTCTAATTATCTCAAGTAGAACATGAATCATGTACGGCCCAAAGCACAGTACAGAAGATCTCAAACATTATGATGATACCAAAACATATGCAGATTTTAACTATTACTGAATAATGAAGAGGAAATCATACTGATTAACAAGTGCCTGAAATTTGATCCCTCCTGAGAAAAACAACAATTGAGAAATCTTATGCAAAATCAAATAGGACGCATAAAACAACATTGTCAAGCTGTCGCATTGCCTAACTAATGGCAACATCACTACCTGGAATAACAATTGTGGGGGAAAAAGAAGAAGCAGCAGCAGCAGCAAAAACATAATAAAAGTTTTGACTGAAAAATAGTTCTTGGGATTTAGTGGAGTGTAGTTGGAGTGAAATGAAATAAAAAAAAGAGAGGAGGAGAACTCGCTAAGATTGTTAGCTGGTCAGGGCATCAAGAAGTGAAAGAAAAAAATATCAAACCAAGCTAAAATTCATCCAAATAAGTCCGGGTGTATCCTCCCACGGTATATCCAATATTCTAAAACGTGAAGAATTGGAACATAACCAAATATTCTAAAACGTGAAGCAGTATCGAAAATTTAGCGGTGATTCAATGCACAACCTGCTATTTTTTTCAATGAATAACTACCATACCTTCCCTTCGCTTGCAAAATGCTTCTCAAGCTCACTCTTTGTTATCCTAGACGACAAGCCGGTTACATACAAGTTGTTTCCAGGATTCTCCACATCACTTGAATCTTGGCTCCTACACACATGTACCACATTTTGAAATTAGGCCAACAGGATAATCCTTCAAAACTATATTCATAATAATATTAATAATAAAATCCTTTTATAGGTGAAAAGGGACTGAAGATCAGTACCTTGAGCGGCCCCTAGACCTTGAAAAGGATCTGTTTCGTCTGTACGGCGAGCACGAAGGAGATCTGTATCTGTAATTTGAATAGACCGAATACAGAGCATCACATAAACAAACGTGACGATCCAATGTCTCGAACAATAGATTAAGTATCCCAAAATAAAATAAAAAATATAAAACTAAAAGAAAATCTCACCTTGATGACCTTCTCGAGTATGACATCTGAAACAATATCATAAAAGAGACTAGTTAAATTAATTTGAAAAGGACATAGAGGTTTCTACATCCTACAAATAAAGAGATAGAAGTATAGGGGTGGAAATGGACCAAATAATTAACAAATGGTTCCATAATTGTTAGCACAACTATTCGACCATATTCGATTCGGTAGTTTATTTATCACAAAACAAATATTTTTTAGTATTCGAGTTTACTAACGAATAGAATTTAACCAGATGTATATTCGATTCGTTTGTCTATTAAATATTCGTTTAAAATTAATCACAACTTATTATTTGTATTATTGCACATATGATGTCATATTTTTAATTCACTTACCATTTCTACTTAACTTTTATACACTGATTTTAGGACTTAAATAATTTTAGATCTATTTTCTAATTAAAATTTTGATTTAAATATATATAAATCATATATTAAAAATAAATAATTTTTATTTATGAATTTTAATATTATTTGAAAATCAAATTTTTTAGCGGAATCAATATACTTTGATATTCAACAAGTATTCGTGAATATTCATGAATATTTATCAAATACCAAGTATTTGAGTTCGAATTCGAAAAACTAGATATATGAATATTAGAGTCCACATTCGAATTGGATAATTCTAAACAAATACAAATACGAACAACTTAATATTCGATTCGATTCGATCGTTTACCACCCCTATAGAAGTATCGACCAATTCAATAGCAATTAAAATTAACAAATAACGATGTTATCAAATCAATAGCGATTCATATCCACAGATTGGTTAATTTGATGATCTATTTATCACCAACCAAATTAGAAGACTTCAAATTGCAAATTGTTTTATGACAGAGGTAGCGATATCGAAATAAAGTAGGATTACCAATATCTCTAATTAATTTATGAACGAGAATAATAATAATATTTAAAGCGAAATCTTACGGTTTCGATTGCGGAGGCCCGATCCCTTGCTTGATTGCCCTCGGCTATCTTGCTCCTCTCTCCCCTTCCTTCGCTGGTGGAATTGCGACGGGAAATCGGGGGGGAAATATTTATAGGGTCAGAAAAAGGAAGCTTCTGGAGAAGCGGACTCGAGACCCGGTTGCAATGCGGTTAATTTTTCAGGTGCAGGGGCCACGCAATGCTCGGCACGTGGCGCGTACATACTGACGGGTTTTTTTATATTTGCCCCCAGATTCTTTCCATTTTCGAATTAGTTCCCGAATCTTTTTTATATTTTGAGTTCACAGCTCAAATCTCTTAAATATTTTCACATTAGTCCTTCTAGTTAGCAGCAGATTGCAAGATGTCGAAACTCCTTCCAAAACATTATTTTACCTGTCACATTATCAATGGATTTGATAATTATAAAATCGTGATTATCCTCCCTTACTTATCATAAATATACGAGGAATAAGAAGAAGTTTTTGAAGGAATTCCTAAAATCTTCTCGGTGGCAATAGAATTATATTTTTCATGCATGTGGAAAGATAGGCGTAATGATTGGGTTAGATAATTTTTCAGAATATCGTTAAAATAGAAGCTTATGCAGATATGATGTTTTGACGGAAAAGGAGGCGGAAGTAGGAGAAATTTAAAAGAAATATGAAGAGCAATTAGTGCAAATTAGGAGGGCACATTAGCTATTCATTTCTCTTTATCTCTATTGGAACTTTTAGAAAAATCGATATGTATTTTTTTTTTAATTAAGGAATGTGATGTTATAAAATCTGGATTGAAACCAATTCGGTTAATTTATACAAATACACGATATAAATATTTAATTTAATTTTAAACTCAAAATATTATTCAAAAT